AGAAGCGCATTGCTGTGAGGCAAATGGAGGAATCGCAGTCGACTGCTGCAGCGTCCACGACGATCCTAGAGGGGGCGACCCCCATGGGAGGCGTGGGGGACATAACCCTCTATGAAGGCATCGTGAGGAAACAAAGTGGTGACCTCGCGTGGAAGCGACGGTACTTGTGCATCCGCGGGGCACTCGAAGAGGGTGAGCGCCTGGACGCGGGGAGGATTCCGAGGTTCAAGAGCCTGGACCTCGTGCTGGCTGTGTCGAAGGAGACGATGCGGCAACAGTGCATTGCGACGCCGTTTGCCGAGCTGGAGGACGTGTTCCCCGTTCCGAGCAAGTACACTGGGTCGAATGCGCGGCACGTGTTTGCTGTGGCCTTCAAGACTGGAAAGCGTCTTCTCTTTCAGGCCCGTGGTGATCCTGAGCGGGATGAGTGGATGCAAAAGTTCCAGGAGGCGCTCGGAATTGATGACGATGAGTAGCGTTAGTATGTTTAGTATGAGGGATTGTTTTAGTCGTGTGTTTTAGGTGTTTTGTGTTTTCAGCGATATTAGGGTTATTATATTTTTTCCCCCTTGCGTGTCTGTTTCTTGGTAGCTTTTTTTTGATTTCTTTTGTGTGAATGTGCATGGGGTAGGCTTTCTGACACTGGGTGTAAGTGGGGCCTTTTGCCTGCGCTGATACCTTTTCTGTGTTTTGTTTAGGATGTTGGGAACTGTGGATGAGTTTTGTTTTACTGCTTTGTCGTTGTTGCGACTGTTGAGAATTGTGGGTTGTGTGTATGGTTGAAGAGTTTTGCAAGAACAAACGCAGGTTTTTGTCCAAAACTCTACATGAATCTCGGGGTTGTGGGGGCGTTGTGTGTGTTGGACATGACCATTGTACTCCTCAGTTTTTGTTTAGAGTGGGGATTTTGTTCGTTTTTTGTCTTTGTGTTTTTGTGGCTCGTTTTGTTTACTCTGCCGTTATCTATGTGGGGATTTTGTGGGCGTGAATCGGTGTCTGTGTGGATAGCGTGAAAGTACACTCTCAATAGCGAACCCCCCCCTCCTCCCCTCCTCCTTTGTTTTGTTTTTTTGTTCCGTCCTCCGCAGAGTTTGCGGGTATGCTGTTTTGGCAGGGCTGTGCGGCGACCGTGTTCTAACCGGGTCTGTGCTCTAGCTGTGGACGTGGGGAGTTCACTTATGCCAAATTCTTCTATCGCTGCCTCCGAAAGGCTGAACTGGCACCACCTTGTACTGTTCTTGTTGGTGTTTGTTTTTCTCTTTTTTGCTGGAGTATTCCCCTAATGTTTTTTTATTGGTTTAGTGGTTCTCTTCCTGTTGTCCTTTTTTCCTCTTTATATATGCATATATGTACGTATATATGTTTTTTTTGGTCATTGTGTGTATGTTCCGCCTGTTGTTTTTTTTTTGGTTTGTTTGCGAGTGTGGTTATAGTTTTCTTTTGGTTTTCGTGCTTTTTGTTCCTTGTTTGCCTACTTTTTGTGGTTGGTTTGCTTTGCTGCTCTCCCGGTTTACGATGTGATCGATTGATTGATTTGCAACGATGGCTAAATATGCGCGTGAGCAGGAACATCGATCTGCGTTCGTCGTTTGCCCTCTTGTGCGGGGGCGGAAGGAGATCCCCCCTGGCTTCTGCATTTTTCTTTCAGGAACGATGCAGGTGCGCACGTGTGCGTGAGCAGCCGATGCCAAGGAGTGTCGCTTCTTATTGCTTCTTCACCCTGCGCATCACTGGAAGCAACCGCGGTTCCAATAGGGTGAGTGAAGGGAAATGTGGTTGACGTGCCCCGCGCGCATCCAAACAATTTCATTGGCGCATAAAGGCGCTGTCATTTGTCGGCGCAATATGGCGTGCTTGCGGGTGAGGCGCACTGTAGCTATGCCCGCCATTGCAGTAAACGCCGTGGATGTTTCATTCACTTCACGGCGCGGCTGCTCGAGTTCCCTGCGGAGTCCCGAGACATCCGCCAAACTCCTGGAGCTAATGGAGGCCTTTGCGGAGGCACGTGAACTTATTATTGAGGCGAAGGAGAGCGTTGGGACCGTGTATGTTGCAGAGGACCTGCAAGATGCCAAAGAGCAGACGGAGAAAACATTGACTCTGTGGAAGGATATTCAGGCCGACCTCGAATTGTCAGGGGATACGGATGCGCTGAGGCGTTTAAAAAGAGAGCACGATATTAAAATGTCACAACTTCGTGCTGAATTGGAGGACGTAGAGCATTCTTCCAGTGACGACTGAAGTGCGATTGGGTGAGTGTGCGTGCGAGGGAGAGAGAGTGAGGGAGAGGCAGGGTTGGGTGTTGGAGAAATTTTTGTGCGGCAGTGCATTGTGTTCGTTGTGCCATTTTCCATCCGCCCCCTAGCAGGGTTCCTGTAGTGGTATTTTACTTTGTTGCTTTCCTCTGCATGCGTGGGTGTGAATCGTACTTTGCCGCTTCATTGGCTTCGCTGAAGGAAGTCTGCTTCTTTTTACCGCAAGGGTGAGTTTATTTTGTTCTCTCTGTGTGTGTGTGTGTGTGTGGGTGGGTGTACAACAGAAGAAAAGGCTTTGAGGGAGTAGGGAAGCGGTAAAGACTTTTGTGCGTGTGTGCGTCGGTCTGTCCCTGGAAACTGAAGGCGCATGGGTGTTCCAGATTTTTTGAAGTTTGCCGCGCGCAGCTCGCCCACGGCGCTGTGCCGGATGAAGAAGGGTCGAGCCTCCGCCCCTCTGTGCTTTGACTTCATTCTGGTTGACGCCACCAATGCGTGTCAAACCATTGGCCTTGGGACCCTCGCGGAGTTCCTTATGCAGCCGCAGCTGAAGGTGCGTCGAGCGGTGATATTTGCCGTGGACGCACAGCGACACCGTGCTGGAACGTCGCGGAGCCACCGCACGCACGCCACCGTGTTGGATGCAGACGTCGCCGTCCAACGGCTCTGTGGTGAACTGCAGGAACATTACACGCAACTTGCCACGGTAGACGCGCTGCGGCCGCAGGTTCTTGTCAGTGGCCGTCAGGTTGCGGGGGAGGCAGACTACAAGATTCTCGACATCCAAAGGCAACTTGTCATGCAGGCGTTTGCCGCCAAGGAAGAGCTGCCGACGTTTTGCTTCATTTCTGAGGACTCGGACGTCCTCTGTGGAGCCATCTGTGGGCCTGCCCCACACACCGTGACCATCGCAACGAAGCTTCACGACACCATGTTCGAGATGTGTCTTCTGCGAATAACACATGTTTTGGCCTACATCGCCCAACGCGTGGACGCGCTTGACGGCACCGACGAAGCGGAAGAGCAACCACCTCAGAAACAACAACAGCAGAAGCAGCCCGATGTCGCGAATGAGAATGGGAAGGGAGAAGCCGGGGAAGGTGAAGAGATTCTTCGCCGCCGCAAGCCGGACGGACCCATGGTCGCTACTGGCTCTCGTGTCCTTCTTAGTGACTCCGATAGTGACTTAAGTGACGCTGATGAGGTGGGGCAAGTGAAGGGCTTGCCTGCCTGCATGCCTGTGCAGATGGCACAGCATAGTGCTCAGGCTGAGATTCTCCAGAATAGTGCTATAGATTTGGTGTTTCTCTTTATTGTTGTCATGGGCAACGGCAGCAATGTCCCTCCTCTTGTTCGTGGAGCAACCAAGGTGGACATCCAGTCCTCCTGGAAGGCGTATTGCAGGATGAAATATAGCACAGCGGAGTTTGGTCGTGAGAAGGAGATGGGACGCTCGTTGTTGGTGCTTCATGACGCGTTGGCGCGCCCAGAGCAGCAATCAAATGAGATTGCCTCCATTGCAGTGGACTGCTCCTTGCTTAGGGCCATTCTTGAGTCTGCCCACTATGCCGATGCCTACGCACGGCCTCCTGTTGAGGAAGAAAAGGAGAGGGCCTTGCTGTTCCTCTCTCAGGCCGTGTACACGACACTTCGCTACATAATTGCGTGTAACGTTCACTTTGATTCGGCGTTGGAGGACACATTTTTAGACACGCGACCCCTGCTGGAGAAGGAAGTTGTTGTTCCAAGCCTCGCTGCTTTTTTGTGGGTGCTGGGTTTAACGAAGAAGAGAACATTGTACTTTCCCCTTGTGGGGTTGGCGGATGAGGAGGTACTGTCAACCGCCACAAAGGGAATGCCAGCGGTGGAGGCGGCTGTCGCTGCCGCACGCTGTCGCAGCAAACACTCTAATCAAAATGTTGTGCTGGAATGGGATGTGGGGAATACGCTTCTGACATCTGGAGCGGAGATGTCGCGCAGGGTGCGTCTGCAGAGCTTTTGCACGCGGTCGAAGTCAGGCTATTGTAAAGGCATGGTGGCTTGCATCAATGCATGTGCCGAGGATGCCGTGAGAAACGCCAGCGATAGTGCCGGTCATGGTTTCCCGCAGGGAAGTAAATCGGCACTCTTTTCACGGCTTCTGTTGGCATGGCGGAGCACAATGACATCGTTTATGCCTGCGTTAGGGGTGATTGCACGCAACGAAAATTTTGCCGTTTCTCTCAACGAGAGTGATAGCCATAAGCGCATGAGTGGGGAACCACGCAGCGGTGCGTTGGAGACGCAGACTGAAAAAGACAAACTCTCGTATAGTTTTGAATTGAGGCGCATGGCACCGGTGCTTGCGGGAGGCGCGAAGGAACCCCGCGGTGGCACGGCAACGAGCGCGGCGCTTCTGCAGGCGCTACGTGTATCATATGACTATGCGAAGGCGCCGTTGTCGGCGGAGATGTCTGGGGGAGCAGCCGCAGAGGAAGGCGAGGCGCCGTCGTCCAGTGCGGAGAGGAAGAGGCAAAAGCGGCGGCAGTCTGCCGTGGAGGCCGCTCCTTCTGCAGAAAAGAGGCCCAGAAAGGAGGGGGCGGCAGGGGGCTTGGCCGCCGGCAAGAAGCGGGAGGGTCAGTCGGGCAAATATCGGCGCCCCGGCAAGAAGGAGCGTCAAAGGGCGAAGATGGCCCACGACAGCAAGTAAGCTGAGCCAACCCACTCTTCCTTTTCCCCGGTTGTGACGCGCGATTAAAGGCGATACAAATCGAATAATAATGATAAAGCATAATAATAGGAATGTGCAGGGGGAGGCTCAATCTCCTTCGATGCATGGGTGAGGTAAAGTCTGCTGTTGATTTCGTGGTTCTTCGCGTCTTTCCGTGTGCGGGCGTGGGTGTGTCTCGTCAGAGGCCTCGTGGTTGGCGTAAACGACATGCCTTCACCCCCACCATTTTCGTTAACACTCGCGTTGAATTCTTTCCGTTGTTTTAGGCAGCGCATGTACCGTAGGGCCTCCCCCGCACCAACGAACCCAACGGCGCGTTCTACGGAGATCACGGGGTCCCTCCCCACGGCGGCTGCTTTGGGAAGAGGCCATCGCAATGGCTCCGTTGCCACGGCCACTTTGCCCCGTGCCTCGCAGCCATCGTACACCGAAGTGCAATCACGAGAAGAGGAGGGAGATTCCTTCTCTGCAAGTGAATTGATTATTCCTTTTCACTTGGACATCGCATCTCGGTTGATGGAACAACGACGGCCGTTGCCTTCAGAGCGAACTGGGATACTATTGCAAGCGTCAGATGTCTTGGAGCTGCAGAAGTCTCTGGATGACTACGCGGAGGATTTGCTCTACGCCACGCGGCAGCTTTTCATGCATGATAATGAAAACATGGTTCAACGGCTTCAGGAGGCGAAGGATGTTTCGACAGTGTGCTTGTTTTTGCAGATGCAGCGTGAAATGCGGCAACTTACCGGAGACGATTCCGTGGCCAAGGAGCGCAGCCTCATCCAACGCCTTTCCGACCACCTGGAACTGTAGCATCCTAACAAGTCTACCCAATACCGCAGAGAGGGGGAGGGTGGTGACGGGTCACATATTCATTTTACTTTATGCTTGCTGTGTTGGATGTCGCTCCCTTGCTACCGGCCTTCTGCATCAACCAGGACGTTCTATCGTTAGGTGTCAGGTGTGTATGTGTGTCTTTTTTGTTTTGCCCTCTCGCATCTAGAACTGCTCCTTCTTGGAATGGGGAAGAGAAAGGATGAGGGAGGGAGAGTTCCTTCAGCGGCTGTCGCCTGCTCTGATTCCGCGGTTTCTCCTCCTTCCTTCGTTGCGTTTGTTTTCGCTTGCTGCACTGCATTGCCCGT